CACTAAAATCGGTTTATTATTTTTCGAGATACGTGCGCAGACATACATACATATAGACCTAAATGCAATATCCTTGCCCCTCCCCTTCGGGGAGTGGAGAGTAATTACCATAAAGAAAAGGGTTGGCCGGAGCTGAGCTTCTTCGGGAATACCTAATTCCTTAAATACGGTTTTGCTCACATTTACAATATATGATTATCATGCGGGTCACGAATCTAGCTTCCGAGGGTCTGATGTTGCCCACAGTCCATCTATTGGGGGATCAATGGATGATATGGATAAGATATTATAATAACTAAGTCCACAAGATTTACAAGTAGCAAAAGGTTACCTTATATCATAAAAAGTTTCACATTATTTAAAATGGCACGTAATATGTATTAGTATCTCCCCAACTGATGTTGGCTTATATAAATAAGTTTCCAACCATTAGTTTGTTTGTTGTGTCCAAGCCAGTCTGAAGAGATCTGGATTGAGCGAAACGCATCGTCGGCAATTCATAGGGTGAACATAATGTGGTTGTAATGCTATTATTATACACTCTTTTAATTCTTTAAAATATGTAAGGAGCTAGATAAAGAATTTTGTGTTATAAAATATTATAGGCCTAATACAAATGTCTTATGACAAGTATAATTAATTATAATCATACTTCGTCAGCTTGGAAAAGGCGTTCACACTAATTGTTGTTTGATAAAATCAAATACATCTTGTCGGTTCCAATGAAATTCCTTAAGTTACACAAAGATCCTTAACTTAAGAAAAATAAAACTCAATTTTAAGCGTATATATCACAACTGAAACATTAACAGATGTTACAATAACCAAGTCATCATCAGTTTCAAACCAGTTAACAGCTATTTTCGTGTAGTTTTTGTGATTTATCTGAAGTTCATTAAAATTATATCTGCTACACTGGTAATTGGTATATTGTTAGTTTTGATTGTGTTTTAACTAATTTGCCTTGTCTCCATGTGATTATTTGTTCAGTGATGATTTAACAGCAAACGACAATTTCAACCATTTTTGAAGGACCTTAAAGTCTTATTTGTTATCTAGTCATATATGATTTAAACACCAATATTGTATTAGATCGAGTGGTAACATTATGCACAGACTAATTTCTTTTATGATGAAATAACAGCCATTTTTAAAGTCTCCTAGAATATGCTTTAAGACAACTAGTTATTATTACTTCTACTAAACTGTCACATTTCATATTCAATAAGCATATTTCTGTTTAAAAATATGTTTTCTAAGTAATTATTATTTCTGCCATTTCAGGAGAGTATGAATAAATTAATATTCATGACGAGTTTAAACAGGTTTTATATCTGATATAGTAGGATAATCAAATTTGTGGTTATGTACATAAAATCATCACATATATAGTATTTATTGACATAGCTAGATATTCAACCTCATAATGAAAGTAGTTACTATTGAAACGCTATTTATATGCTTGTTATGCTCTGGCGTTGGATGGAACTCGTCGTCGACAATAGATATGACGGACATAGTGTAGTTAAAATATTGTTATACCCTCGCCTTCTTGGAAAAAAACGTAAGAGACTGAGTATCTATGTTAGTGTTAAAATAGAATAAGCTTAATACTATTTTCTTACGACAAATAAAATTAAAATATTCTAAATTATTCCAGGAACACATATAGACTAAATTTGCGGACTTAAGGAGCTGAGAAGCGTCAAAATATTAAGTCACTAGTGGGATAGTTAAGCATGTTATTTTAAGTTCAAAATTAAGATTTTATTTTCACCTCCAAAATATTGCTTCCAAGGGTTACTGCTGTTATACATTTTAAAAAGTTACATGTCCTTTTAAGTAAAAATAAGGTAAAACCATCTATAGTAATATATATAGATAGCAGCAAGTGTTATATAACTTTAAATTTTAGGATAACTCTTGTGCTTTAAAATTCTTAATGGAGTTGAAGATAGAACTTCGAAAAGAAATCGTGATATTGTGGTAATCTATTAGATGATTATCTGACAAAGAGCTAGGTCCTTGCAGTAACGGAGGTTTTAGGAAGTAATAGGTAAATATGGATGCTCAAGAGGTATGAGCTGGCGAAATTAAATAGCATGAGACTGTTAAAATTTAAGATTCAGAACAAGATTGACAAGTTTGAGTTAGAACAACACTGATAGAATGACAATGAGTAGATAGAAATCGAAGCAGACACAATAGCCTACTTACGAAGCCAATGAAATTCAAAAATAGAATCCGCGAATGCATCTTATCTCCCGACTTCTGGCGACCAGTTACTGACGTTAGTACTGTTCACCCAGAGGTTATCGAATTACACTGTTTAACTGTTCCTGGAGTAAAGTTCAGGACCAAGAAGCTGGTTCACACTGAGTAAAGCAAGAAACCTAGCGATGCAATAATGATAATGTTTAACGGAACGGTGTGCAGTTCACACTATTCTGACTCTTGTGGAGGTGTTGAAAGCGTAAAGCCAACAAAAATTGCTGATGATGAAAACGTTTACTCGTTGAATTTATTTTACTTATGCAAAATAATCAAAGAGATAAGACATAAAAACGAAAGGAATATCTGTATCAGAGATACATTCAGACATGTGCAAGTTTTAACAATAAAATATAAATTCCAAAAAGGCTTTATAACTCCTTTATAATATAGAATACAGTATATTATAAATGTTTTGGAAATAGATAATTTACCATAAATAACTGAGCGATCTATACCACGCATCGTAGTTTTAAACGCTGAAATTGCAGCCATTTTGAAGATAAGGAAGAAGTTTATTATGATAGTCCGATATGGTAATGTCGCGCCAAAAAATTGAAACCTTCTACGTTACGTGAATACGTAATCACTTTTCCGTTAGCTTTACAATTCTTACTTGTCACAGTGGGAATTGTAAAATGTATTCTAGCTTTGGAGATATCTACGGAAGTCGGACCTATGTAGAGCTGGAGATACACTATCTATCAGACTTAACCTCCCTTCGCCTGCCTTATATTTTCCTACTGTGTAACTTATACCCTGGTGTTATGTTATTCAATTTCTGATATTTCTTTACGTTTTTATTTTAAAAAATATTTTGTTTCTTAAGTTGGATATAGTTTATCATCAATTATTTATTCTATTTCATTTTAAATATTTTAGACTTAATTTGTTGCACCTAGTGACGCAATAAACGATTTTATATTCTTAAAAACTCTTTAAGAAATAATTACATTCGTAAACAAACATAAAAAAACACCATTCAACAAGTCCAAATGATTTATAACTACACCCACGTATTATTTCTTATTATTAAACCCTCTGTTGATTTAATTTATAACTACACCCACGTATTGTTTCTTATTATTAAACCCTCTGTTGATTTAATTTATAACTACACCCACATATTATTTCTTATTATTGAACCCTCTGTTGATTTAAGAGTAAATTATTTATGATATCTCACCATGACATGTTCACTCGAAATATTAACGTAAAACTGACGAACAATTTTTTGAGTTCATTGATTTAGATCACACTGCTATATCTCTTCGTTGCTTACCTTTATGATAGAGTACAAAGTTTATATTTTATTGTTATAACCGTTTCTATCGTTAGGCGGGGTCATTTCTGATTATTAGTTAAAAATAATGCAAAATCCAGTCTACTTTATTGTATTCAGCGGTATGTCTGTGGACCTATACCACTAGAAACCGTGTTTCGATACCCGTGGTGGGCAGAACACAAATAGCCCGTTGTGCAGCTTTGCGCTTAACTGCAACCAAACAAATCCCTAAGCTATCTTCACATCTTATACTTTTCAAATGTTCGATAAATTACTTTGTTTTTGTTTGTGATTTCCGACGTCATATTAAAGAAGTTATTGTGCATGCATTACTCATACTGTTGTATGTAAAATCAAACTCATGTCTTTATATTTACACTTAAACTAGCTAGGTAAGTAAGGTAAACTTAAAAAGATATTTACAGACTTACGCAGTTTACTTTATTTTATTGTTATAAGTATGTCCCTCCTTCAAATATAGAATTATAATATTTTTGTTTCAGTCATGATATTTGTTTGCTTGTTTGTAATTAAGCACAAAGCTACATAATGGGCTATCTGTGCTCTGCCAACCACGGATATCGAAACCAGGATTCTAGCGTTGTAAGTCCGCAGATATACCGCTGTGCCACTGGAGGGCCTTAGTCATGAACTGAGTTGCTAATAAGCCAACGTTCGTCATTGAACTAATTCGAATGTTGTTGTATCATATATAAATAGCTTGAAAGACAATGTCTTCAATCAATCACAACTTGCAAGGAAAATTTGCTAGGCATAAACTCAATGTTTGTTCTAACGGACTAGAAAATCGACTGTCCTTCACACATTTCGAAAGTTAATTATAGTTATAGATATAAGTTGAAAATAAATCGTCAATCACTTCTAGAAGGACGAGGAACAAATGTAATACAAAAGGACAAAATATGGTAGGGTGGTAGATTTCACGAAAAATAAACCTTGGGTCCAATAAGCTTTATTAATGATATATTGGTGTAAAATGAGGTGCACGAAAACGCATCAGGCACTAACACAAATACACAAAAATGTGTAAAAGTGAAGTTTAAGACAATAATTTAAAAACTAAGTTTTGAAGAATAGGCGTGTTAAATAAAGGTCATTATGTATAGGAATGTATATATTCGTTCATTGCTAACGTCAGAAGGTAGCTTAACAACGAATATACCTAGGATTTACGCAGATAATACGTGACCTAGTACTAACCAATCGAAATGTGCTCTCTGCTAACGCTCTGAAGGAATGTATGGCGGTATCCATGGCAGTTTAACTCTGTTGTTCGAAACATTGAAGGACAAGTGTGCTATGGCTACAGGTAGCCCGATAACATCCATTTTGAAGAAACGGCAGCTTTGTGAATAATCTGAGATACCTTACTATTGGAATTATTATTTCGCAGACAACAGATAGTGAACAAAAGAATTATTAAGATTCAATACCTTTCTGGAGACTAAAATTCACGCGTAATGAGTTCTACTGACAGTCTTGCTCGGAGGAGACCTTTGAGTGGCAGGAGTGCATGGGACAATGGGGATGAAGACATGGAAAGCCTGGGTCCTTATGACAGTGAGGTCAAGGAGGCTGGTTTGATTCCCGAGAGGGATAGAGGAGGATGTTGGAATTGCTTAAAGCAGTGTGTTGGAGGTAAACCCTATAAAAGTTATAAAATATATATATATAAAATGTCGGGTGTTACGTAAAATGCAAAAATTATATTAAAGGATTTTAGCGGAAGTTAATCAGCTTTACTTGAAGTTTCAGAGAAACTCCAGCATAATGATTTCATACATCGAAAGTTGAAAATTTTTGCGAGTTTCAACTATTTATCTAGACGAAACGAAAGTAAAGTAAATAATATAACCAAACTTTAAAAACAACAACATTGTTATCGTATGTGTACGCATTTGTAATATGATTCATAAGTTCGTTTGTCGCTTTGCTTCCATTAGCATGTCTCAGGGGAGCTAAATAAGATACAAATAGCGCATACATTCAAAATAACTATAATGTTATCAGTTTTTAAAGTTTTACTTTTCCGTATATAACGTAGAATGTGCGATCCTGGCAAGTGAAGATATGGGATTTACGGTTATCTTCCTGGAGATTTTGTATTTAATAAACAGTTTTCTTGAAAGTGTACCATGAGGGTTATAAAAGCAATATTTTGAGTAATGTTTGATGTATGATGAAAATATAATATTTCCAGGTATATGTGATATGGGATGTGATTGTGTAACCTTTCTAGCTAGTGTGTGATATGGGACTTAAAAGTGATCTTTGCTTAATATATGGTGTGTGATCTAAAGGAAGTCTCATTGGGTATGTATGCGTGGAATCTGAAGGTAATATTTCTAGATAAAATACTATTGGGTTTAGGCTAATTTTCCTTGTGATGTACGACTTAGGACGCAGGGGCAATATTTTACGCAATGTATGATGCGTGAGGTAAAAGCAATGATTTTGGATATCATATAATGTAGGATCTGAAGGTAACCTCTATGGATATCGTGTAAATGTGAAAGTGAATCTTCTTGAGTAATGTATAATATGTGGTCAATAGTTGAGCTTTTAAAGTAATATATACTGCATAATGTATAATATGGGTTCAGAGAAATCCAATTTTTCTAAGTAATATAGGATATGTGAAGTTAAGGTAACCTTCGCAGAAACCGTGCAGTGTGGAACCTAAAAGCAATGTTTTTGGAGATGTATCATGTGGGTTCAATAGCCTAGTTTTCTGGCAAAGTGTGATTTAGGGCTTAAGTGATATATATATATATATATACTGGGTAATGCATGATGTGTTGTGTAAGGGTAATATTTCAACGTAAGGCATGATCTGAAAGCGTAATCTTTGTGCATAATGTAAGGAATGAGAACTAAAGTAACTTCCTTGAACATAGTGTAAGGGTTATCATTCTGTGTGATGTGGGATCCGAAGACAAACTGATTATAAATAATGAAAATATAGCAAAGCATTTACACATCGTTAGAGGCTTTACGTATGTATAGTGATTCATGGTGCATTTAAAATGACTGTGTTTACACATCATTAGAGGCTTTACGTATGTATAGTGATTCATGGTACATTTAAAATGACTGTGTTTACATCATTGTTAGAGGCTGTACGTATGTATAGTGATTCACGGTACATTTAAAATGACTGTGTTTACAT